TTTTTAGAAAAATAAAGATTCGTTATCGAATTAGTACATTAATTCATATTCAAACTAAATTTCCAAACATTCAAACTAAATTTTCATATACTCAAACTAATCTAAACGCAATATTCAATATTCTGCTTCCAGAAATATAAAACACTCAAAGAAAGGTTAAACAGCATCTACCTGATTTATTCGATCGTGAACGTGACACAAAGTGTTACTCAGAGACACGAAGACAAGTTAAACTCCTCAAAGCCGAACCACTGCCTTAAGTGCAAGTCCAAAGAATCGAGAAAGGCAGAAGGGCAGCCATCACTCTAGCAATCGTTCTAATTACTTTAGTAATAACTTATTTACCAGCAATAATAATTGCGTTAGTGACTGCTTCCTCAGACAGCATTTTAGTAAAGCCGCGTTTTATAGCCATTACGTGGAGCTGGGTGGGAATTCCAATGATGTTAGGTTCCCTGTGTAATCCTATAATTTACTGTTCGCGTATGAAGAAACTACGACACGCATTTCTCGAAATACTACATCTAAGAAAACCTGAGAACACCGTGCCAGAAGCAGAAATTACAGGAACTCGGCCCTTTCAACCTGGACCGACGTTTTGTAGAACAGACCAGGCTTTCCTGTCACGCGGAAACGGGCAACCAGTTTTGATGTCATTTCGTCAGCAGCCAGTCGAATGCCTCCCTCGCATCGAAAAAGCCAACGGGGAATAGCCCTTAATTCAATGTCATCATGTTGTTCTCATCCGTCAATTAGCAGTGAGTACGGTGAACTATAAAGAGCAGTGGCGGACCCAGGGGAGGGGCCCGGGCCTCCCCGTTATTTTTAGACCAAACTGACTGCCGAGGGGCACAAAAAAATTTTTTTGAGACCACCCCCCCCCCCCCCCTTTCTTACCTCAACAACAACAACAACAATAAGCTTTATTTGCATGACTATGACAAAGTATTACAATCTTATTGCAAAAGCTACTTGAATTTAATTTTTGATTCCTTTTTAAATTAAATATTAATCATTGCTTATTTTCAACCATCAGTAGGATTAATTATTCCGTAAAATTCCGTAGAGTTTGTCTCTCAATTCAAAGCAAGATTATATAAATGAAATTAAATGGATGTTAATAAAATAGTCAGTAGAATTCATTAGATATGATAATGAGGTCTCATGTGATTGTAGTCGTAGAATTCTAGTTTAGAGAAGAACATCTGTCTTATCGAAGAAAAACTTAGACAATCTAATAAAAAGTGAGTTTCATCTTCAATTCTCTTACAATTGCAGAGACTGCATAACCTTTAAGCTGGTGCTATATGGTTGTATCTACCTGTCTCAATCCTAAGTTTGCGACCGCTTATTCTCAGTTTCACTAATGTTTTCCTAGAAGGGTTCTTTCTTGTTAGATCAGAGAGTAGGTAGGCAGGGGGGCTATAATTCGTTTTCATTTTGTAACAAGTTAAAAGTTTTTGTGAATGTTGAAGGGTATGATTGCATTAAGACACATAATTCTTTTGCATATGATCTACATATTGCTTAATTTTAAATTCATTCAGTAAATGACAATTAAAGCCTGGGAAATTATGGTAGTCAGTCATCTTCTTGAGACTGGAGTAAAAACTATTTTGACCATTATGATGAAGGTCAACAGATATATTTAAAGATTGTTTAACTATAGAATTTTTATCTTTTTCTTGGAGATAGTTTAAGTAATCGTAAGTTAATCTTTTTATTTATATCAATGATCAAAGGGAATCTTCCAAACTCAGATCTGCATGCAACATTGGATGACTTGTTATGGACTTCTAAATATCGTTTACAAAAGTGTAAATGAGTTTTTTCGATTCCGGAGCTATCCCATGACCAGGGATCGCACGCACCTTGAAAGTCCTTAAATTTTAGAATGAAAATTAAAGGCCTTGAAAGTCCTTGAATGTTAATGCTAACTTTATAGTTTAAGTAGAACTACAAAGAGAAAGGAGGAAACACAGAAAGGCCTTCGGGCTAAAATTACTCATGTTGTGGAAGAACTAAAAAAGACATAGACTCAAGGCTCTTTTTGCACTGAATGGAGTCCTTGAAAATTGGGAAATGTGCTTGAAAGTCCATGAAAAGTCCTTGAATTTTTTTTCCTAAAAAGGGTACGAACCCCGCATGACTTAAAATCTGATTTCACTATTGTAAGGTAAAATCGGTGAAATCATGCCCACTGTGTCAAAAATTGTACTTGCAAGGGAAGGTTTCAATTTACGAAATTCAGTGTGGCGTCTTGACTAAAAAGAGGATGAAAGGCTTTTTTGTGGAAGATATTCAAGTGAAATGTAAAATTTCCGGATGATGAGATGCGAATCTCTAAGTAAGTATAGTCTTGTATAATGTCTATCATTTCATTGCCTATGGGAAAAACATTAAGATTCAGTGTTGTTTGTTCTAAGTTATACAATAATCTATGACATTATCATGACCAAATAAGGACATGGCACACACAACTTTAAAGGAATTATGACATCGTCGATTTACAAACCTGTCAGACCGTTAAACCACCTACAAATAGCACGTGACGTTATCTTCATGAGATTACCCCGCATTTCATCCATGAGATATAAAAGACAAAAGGTTTCACGTAAGAAACGACCTAACCGGCGATCCCTGTACTACTCAGATCTCAGGATAATGGTGAACGTCCTTTTTTTCAATTCTACCTTTTATCATATTTATATATAACTTTATTGCAGTTAGCGGTGTACTGACACCTGCTGAAGTTCAATTACAGTTTCTTTCTAGCTGTTTATCGATAATGATCGAGGAGGCACACGCACTAATTGGAAAACAGGGCCCGCATTTGACGCCAAACGCCACTGTTTCACCTCATTAGCATTAAATTCGGCAGTAAGAAGTTTGTCGTATATAAAACAGGCCTAAATATTTGGGAACATTGTAGACCCTACATGAACGATTTCTTTGTCTCTCAGGTAACTTTAAAAGAGTTTCTATTTTATATTAACTTCAGACGTTATGTATGTTAGTTTCAATTTAAGCCCTTTAACTTAATTGATAGTGGTACGTCGTGGATTTAGAGTCAAGCAAATGCCACTTTCGCTCTTTTTTGGCACTGTCGTGCGAACAGCATTTTAACAGTATGTATCGAATTAGGTTTTACTGACTCGCTTTTCGATCTCTTATTCGTACTAACATTGCTTAATCATGTCTGAGTCAGCTCACGTGGTCTTAGCAACAATCAACGTCATCTATATTATTGCATGCATTGTGGGAAACTGCCTCGTTTGGGCTACAGTGATGAAACAGGTGCACCCAACAACTGCTTTTCCAATTCTGTAAAATATCTGTTCGGAATAGCAAATATTGCCTAGAATTTTCTATTACTTGAGGAAGGCTACAAATTTCTAGATGACCGCTACATTTGTGTACAATTTTCAAAACCTATCTAACATATTTCCTACGATTTTCTGAAGCTTAGTTCTTCACATTTCACTCCCCAAGTAATGCTGTTTTTCCTAGAAACATAGGCACGTTTACCAACATCCAGCATGGGGAATGCGAAGGTAGACAAATCGTCTTGAATAGTATAGGATGATCTAACTGTGACGCGTAAACACTTCTGGATCTAAAGAAACAGTATCTAATTTTGACACGTAGAGAGCTTTGTAGCCAAATGCTCTATCGCCTTTAGAAAAGAGCCACGTTAACGTTTCTACCAACTACTGGGTGATTCTTCATATACCTGACAGACTGTCTTAATATCATTTTGTCGCGCTAACTCATGATTAGACTCCTTACAGTCAGTAATGAGCTTCAGATATGCCTTTTTTTTCTTTTAATTTTGTTGCACAAACTCATAACTAAGGTTTTAAGTTTTATTATATCGTAAATACTTTTGTTCTTTGGCCATCGCGATTGATACGAAATGTCACGCAAACCAGAACAGAGGGGGAAAAAATAGCCTTTAACTTAACGTTTCGTATGCTTCAACACACATCTTCAGAAGTAATCTTTAATGGAATATGTAAGAACAAAATTTAAACGTAACAAAAAAAGGAACAACAAAAGTGACAGATGGCGGGAAAATTTCTATGTAAATTACCGTAAATGACCTAATAGATGCCCACTTCCAAATAAACGCCTCCTCTACGCTAGGCGCTGTTAAAACTGTATTAGACGTCCCTCTCTAGAAAACGCCCCCTGTGTAATAGACGCCCCCCTAAGAAAATTACTCCAAAATACTAGGAATTAGCCAGCTGTTAGTTAAAATCATTCAATCGCTGGATCCCTAAAATTATATAATACACGCCGCGATCTACATAATTCTTCACATCCTACTCAGCCTCATTCAATAATTGCGTTGATTAGGTCATTTACGGTACACACTCAAGCTATTATCTAATAAAGATAAGCTTTTCCTTTTTCATTAGGGGTAAGTTTTAAATTCCTAATTAACAGTGTCTCTTTATATATAAATGTTGCATTGGATATCTGACTGTCATTAGCCAAAATGTCAAAGCGGTTCCATTTTGGGTTGTGACCAGTGTTGTTTTAGGTTTTGTGTGTGTGTGTATCAAGTTACATCAAGAGAGAATGAGCTAGATCATTCTCTCTTGGTTACATTCATTGCATTAACTGTAATCAGCTCCAAAGTTCCTGCTGTAATGGCATGCATATGTTCCTGTTATCATGTTACGTTTAACCCAGGATTAAGCAACATTTTAAACAAGGTTTTCTTGTCTAACAACATGCAACTCGAGTTTTCAAAATACTGTTGAGCCTTTACTCCAAGATACGGAAATGATAACACAAAATGTTACTCTAAGCACAGGAATATTGTAAATTACAAAAACAGAACCAAATTTTAATCCTGGATTATTGCTAAGGGGCCTTTTATAACAATTTATAGGCTAGGTCTGCCTTGATGCCGTACACGGAGCAATAAATTCTAAATTGATTTGTTTTCGATTTCGTCTAGATCACGTGAATAGCAGCCAAACCCTTCAGTCATGTCTGATACAGCTGATGTTGCCATAACAACATCAAATGTCATATTAATTATCACCTGCATCGTGGGAAACTTTTTCGTTTGTGTTGTAGTGATGAAAAATCGCGATATGAGGTAAGGCGCTTGTTAATCTAAATACTTCCTCAAATTGATAATTTCACTGCTGGGCATGCGCAATGCTGTCCCCTTTCCTTTTATTTGATCTTTGTCGGGATACCGTACGATACGGATAAAAAACCTGAGCACTCCCCTTGATCTTTAAGTAAGAGGGGGGGTGGGGGGCGGCCTCGAAAATGTTTTTTCTTGCCCCTACGGCCTAACTTTGGTCTAAGAACAAGGGTAGGGGGGGAGAGGCCCCTAGCCCCACCTCGTTTTTGCATGGTAGAACAACTTCCATTTCACTTTGCTCCGCAGAAGATGCGGAAGAGTCTCCTACACAGCCGTTTTCACGGTCGTCACGCAATGCTGGGGAGGAGCGTTGCGTGACGACACTAAAAACTGCTGTGTAGCTATGACTAATACAAGAACAGAACAGGTGAGTTTTTATCTCTCATTTAATTTCCATTTGCAGTTGACCATTTAAAAGTGTGAGTTCCCTATGCCCCATCACATTTTTCCTTAAGTCAAATGCAGGTTGTTTACATAAAAAGGTATACATGTTAAAGCGAGCTCTGGACTTTCAAAGTTTATCGAAACTCGCTTATTGAATATCAATCGTGCTTGATGAATTAGCGGAGACACCGACATTAGGAGAAGCATAACACTCGATCAGGCACAAATTTCATGATACAGATACAAACAAAAGCAAAAACTCTGGGCCCCTTTGGGGAACAACTGTAAGCTAGGATGCTAACTCAGGAAACCTTGTACCGTAATTTACTTGCCTTATTACTCTATTTCTATCAAGTTTTTACATATATTTGAAACTCCCGGTGAAGCTTTGTGTTCTCGAAGCGTCGCCGCTTATTTGCCCTCTCGCCAATGAGGCTATGAGATGAACTTGTGTGCGAAATTCGTAAAGTTCCTGTTTTTCGTCGGACGGGTCTTCTTTACAATCCTAATCTGAAATTTAGACCTTCAAAGAGGCCTTTCAGAGGAAGAAATCCATCTTTAAACACACTCTGCGAAGATGGACAAACATTTTATAAACTGGGCACAGGGAGCTCAGTTAATAATATATAAAGCTATGGGTTGAACATCAAGCCTTTTTTGCGAATCTTCTGCCATTTCTAAAAGACAGCGACAACGTTTGAGTGATGTAGCTTTAGGCAGATCTCCAGAAACTATGATCACACGCCTTTTCTTCCCGTAGTAGTCAGCCGTATGTAATTTGAGAACGGTTACCTACGAGTTGGCTCAAGGATCCATTTGAGGATATCACTAACTGATTGGACACATTATCCCACAGGATTCCCATCAACTACCTGCTAACTGACTGGACACATTATCCCACAGGATTCCCATCAACTACCTGCTAACTGACTGGACACATTATCCCACAGGATTCCCATCAACTACCTGCTAACTGACTGGACACATTATCCCACAGGATTCCCATCAACTACCTGCTAACTGACTGAACACATTATCCCACAGGATTCCCATCAACTACCTGCTAACTGACTGAACACATTATCCCACAGGATTCCCATCAACTACCTGCTAACTGACTGGACACATTATCCCACAGGACTCCCATCAACTATCTACTGGTGAACCTGGCAACAGCAGACATCTGCTACGCCACATTCATAATCCCGACGATTATCTTGAACCACAACGTCGGCCATCCAAAGGGGATTTTTGGAACATTTCTGTGTGCAGTTATAACCGGGGGAAGTTTCGGGGGAAGTTTCGCGTGGATTGGAGGAATTGCGTCAATGTTTACACTGCTTGTCATTGCGTTTGAACGATACTTTGCCGTAGTACATCCCTATGGAAACAGAGGAAAGCTAACTTTACAGAGATTGAAGGTTTGATACTTTGAAATACTATGTGGCATTATCAGCAAATTATATTATATTCCTGTACGAACTTAGATCAGTTTCCACGATGACAGCTCTCTCTCCCGAAGAGGCTACCGTTAAGTATTCCAGTAAAAATAGAAATAATGGAAAAGTAGCAAGCGCGCAGGGGACGATGGGAAGAGAGAAAACGCGGGAGACCTTGCTTCCGCTTCCTTTCGTCCTTTCATTTTCCCTAACCCCAGCCTCCCCTCCATACGACACAAAGAGGACTCTGCGGAGGAGAGAGCGACGACAGAGTCGGCTTCTTGGTCTGTGATTCACCTTTCTCAGTTCTTTTATGTCTCCTTAGGTGATTATTCCTGGAATCTGGATCCTTGCACTAATAGATAACATTCCATCATTTATGAGGCGGAGCCGCTTTGTTGAAGAGGATAGTTCCACCCCTTGCATTTTTTTGTTGTCCAAAGAAAGCATAAGAAAATGCCGCACGGTTTATCTCTCAATCAATTGCCTCGTCATGATCCTGCTGGTCTTGATCTACTCCAGAATTGTGTACACATTGTGGTTCAAGCAAAGTGGTAATGCCGTACTCACAAATCAGGTAGGACCCTTCGCTTTATGCAAGGTAATATCAAGACAGTCTTGGATTCTGGATTCTGGATTCCAGGTACTGAACTCCAGATTCCAATCAGTAGTGGGATTCCGTATTCCTTGAGCTGGATTGACTCTAAAGCCCAAGTAAACAAATTCCACAAGCAAAAAAATTTCCTGGATTTCAGAATCTGTATTCCCTTACATGGGGCCAAAACCCTTATCAGGACAAATTATTCGTCTGAGGACTACTCATAATAGTTTTATATGGAGAAAGTTCCGCTCCGAGGTCCAACCCTTCACCCTCTGACAGAAAAGGTACCCCTTTCGTATACCCTCCATTGAAAAATATAACCCCTCTAAAATACCTAATAAGAATAAATTACTGAAACTGGCCTATTTTACTCAATGGCGAGCTTGACTGGATAGTTCTGAGACCAGCGAATAAAATCTAAAGTGAGACGCGCCTGTTAACGTCTGGTGTTAAAATAAAGAGTTTAAGTTGGCTGAAGGTCGGACGCCGAGCCGTTACGTCCTACGCGTACTCAGTTATCAGCTCAATTTTTGGAAAATTGACGGGTACCGGTTTCTACCCATAACCAAGTTATCAATGAAATTCTTTGGATCTCAGATACAGTTTTTTCTTAACTAACGCGAGAGATGAAAATGGTTTGTTCTCATGTTGGTGTTTGGGTTGGCCAAATTGGCCTGGTAAGGGACGTTAAGTTCTGTCTGTTTATCTACGTTTAGTGGATTCGCAAAAAAATAGATAAACAAATAAATATCAGCTGTGTGATCAGTCATCCTCGGACACCTAGGGGCAGTCAGTCGGCTCGGAAGAAAGGCACAACGAAAGTTTTCAAGAGTTAGCAGTTCAGACCTCTCAGTCATAATACATACGTTAACAAGACCAAAAAGGTCATTTATTCTTATGTATTCTAAACGACACTGCTCATATCAAAGATCAGCCTTAAATCTTCAGTCTTCAGATTACTTCTGATTTAACCCTTATGGGTAGCAACTCTTTTTTTTTCGGCACAAGTTACATTACTAACTTTGTTTATTCACTGTTTTCTCAACCAATCGCGTGAGATCTTCCGAGAGCTGCAAGGTCGCACAGCTATATTGTAAGCTTGGGTGACCTGTGGCTTATCAATCGTTTTGTACACAGGGTGTATTGAGGTTGAGGAAGCGAGTGACCTTGATGGTTGTAACCGTGAGCGCCATTCTTGTAATATCTTGGGGAGCAGATTCGATACTCCATCTGTTAGACGAACATGCTGCTGGCTCCGTGAAACTGAGTCCTTTAGCTATTCCTATCGCGCACACGATGCTGTTGTTCAACTCAGCTATCAATCCATTTGCGTACGCTCTGCTGAACCAAAGATTCAGGAAAAAGATGAGGCAGATGATACGATCAGGTTCCTTTGCAACAAGGATTGGTGCTATGTTCATGAGACGGGGTGAATCACAGGACAACGACACTGGTCACACCACTGGAAGCATTCAAATGACACAGCAAGACCAACTGCGTGAAAGGGCGGCGACAATTTCCCGGGAAAATGTATTATGACAGTATCAGGCGAGTCCTGGTGCCTATCATTTCATTAGAAAATAAGTTTTATTCAGTCACAAATTTTAAAAACTCATTTTCGTATGAACGGTTTGTGCAACAGTCCGCCTCGCTTTGATAAAGAGGCTTGGCAATTCGAAAATGGGTTATTGACACCGCTGTTGTGGTCACCCTGCCTTATTAATTTAAAAAGAAAATGTTTTCTTACGAAAAAAATCAACTCTCATAGGATTGCCTTGGAACACCAACATAATAGGTAGCTTATAGCAACGAAGACAGAGATGGCATTGGAGCGTCAAAGAAGCAATAGATTTTGTAAGCAAAACAGTACATATCTTTGACGTCAATGCACAACTACGACGTGAAATACCCGTATACGACGATTTATGGAGGACGTAAACAATTGACAACGAAGGTTCTTTTTCTCCTGATTTTAAACTTGGTTGCCACCCCACATAATTCACCTAAATTTGAGATTTGATTTCCAATGTAAATACCAAAAAGTTGATAAAACTCTGCCGTCTTTTTCTGTCGTCGATACAAAAGCTTCCTATTGATCTGGCCGACGTGACGTCACGCTGACGTCACGCCGGTAAGCGCTTTGTATGAAATCCATACAAACTTTATAAGAAACTGTGATGCTATATAGGTAAGGAGGGAAGAGGGGTGGGAAAGGAAAAAGCAAAAAGAACTGTTTTATCAATTGCTTTACGACCTTAATAAGATTAGAGCGTCAGCCCTTGTTTGTAAATAGCCCTATCTAAGGACAATGGGGTCAAACAAGCTTTTAGAAACTGTCACTATAACGATGGGATTGCATCATACTGTAAATTCGTTTTCTCCTTTGTATACTCTCTCATATAATTCAATACTATAATGATATAACATAACACTCTTATATACAATTGTCTGATCGTACCACACATGAAAATTAACTTTTGAAGTACATCAAGTGACAACACGACACCAAAAGAACCCAAACAGAGCAGGTTTGTAGCCGTATTTGTAGCTATATTTTGGCTGATCAAGTCTCTTTAGATCCCACGTTCTTCGACATATTGGTCTGGGGTTCTTTGCAGTTCGTGTCTATGTAGACCTATGTATTTGTACATAACAGAATTCTCTTTAGGTGTCCAGCCAAGATAAGAACAAGCTATCTGCGGGCCCATGCACTTCAGTGAAAAAGAAGAATCAAGAGAAATAAAGATTTGTGTTGTTGTTCCTTTTATTGTACCGTTGTCGTTTCGAGCCAAAATTGCCCTCAAATTACTGCGCTTTTCACAAACTTGTGAATTCTGAAGTTCAAAAGCCAACTGACGATTGCGTTTTTGGCTGCCGTCAATCATCTTAACGGACCTCTTAGGAAACAAAACTTTACTTTAACGGGTTCAAAACGTCATGGTTTGTGATTTGTGATTTGTGGATTTCGATCCGTTTTGTGTGTTTCTGTGTTTCAGGGTTCGTTGCTTGTGATCGTAATTATGATTGACGGCAGCGAAAAACGCAATTGCGAAGGCGGCTTTTGAAGTTTAGAGTTCGCATGTTTGTGAAAAGCGCAGTAAAAAAAAATACCGTCTTCGTCTGCTAATTTACATTAAGTATAAATTTTGCCGTCTGTGCCATAAGCAAAAAAAGCGAGCTCACAGAACTGGATCGTCTTGTTAAGGTAATTTTAAAAAAATAAACAATATTTCACAATTTCTTCGTAGGTTTTTGGTTTTATACTTGTGTTGCGTACGAGATTAAGTTTAGATTATTACGGCACCCACTTTTTTTCCACTACAAGAGTCTTTTTCATCTTGGAAAACATGTTATGATTAGAAATTGTTTTACGCAAGATGCTAATTACAAAACTGCTCGTTTAACTTAATAAGTTGCTTACTTGAAGCCAATTAAAACAACGAACGCTTCATTCTAAGAGAATTCCACCATCTGTGTTCCCTCCACAAAAGTTTAAACAGCGTGAAATTTGCGAACGATCAGTTCATCGCGAAACGTTCTCACATTCCCGGGATCGTATTGCGCATGCACCCTTGATTACGAAAATTGCCTACTGTGAATGAAGAAATACCCCCGCTGTCTTGTTATCAATGTGAAGTCATTTCGCCCTTGTATTTTGTTCTCGAAGATTTGTGTATGTGCCGGTGAAAAAATGAACTCAAAATCTATTCCCGTGTCTCTGGGATAATTTTGAAAATAAAAAAGTATATCTCGAAAGATCCTCTTTTGTCTTTCAATCTTACCTTGTCGATTGCGTCGTAGATTTAGATGCAAGCAAGTAAACTTTAGGTCTTATTATCGTTAATTCACGACCGTGGAATATCACCTGCTTCAAAGCTTTTAACTTCCTATTTTTGACGACCCATTGTCGCTAATATATTTTTCCATTATTACTTATTTACAGCCATTTCAAATAACTTTGACGGAAAGCTTCCGCGGTAAGTTCGCACCACCGGGTAATTCCATAAAAATTTCCCAAACTCAACCATGAAGAAACTACTCTGTTGTAAAATCACAAAGGCAAAGGTTTGTGAGGGTTTAGACAATTCTGATAGACTGACAACGTAACAGTTGAACGGTTAAACTAAATAACAAAAGATTTACCGCTACCCCAGCTATATGACCTTCGCTATCTACTCTTGCCTTGTATGTCTATGTTGTAGTTAATTTTTTTTATTTCTAAACACTGTTATAGATGGTTTTCACCGTGACGTCATCAAATTGAAAAGTAAAAAATAGCGACGTTTTACAAATTCTTATTTACACTAGGTTGAAGATAAACAAAAATTAAATCTTTGTATAAAGTTTGTATTTCCGTAGCATGTTTCATTTCAAAAATACAGGAATTTGAACTTCCGAGTTTTCACAGTGCGCACCAGATAGGAATGCTGTCTCGTTGAAAAAAAGTCTCTCCTCTTAACTTTCAGCAGTATAACCACTTCAAGTATTAGAAGATATGTTTATGCGTACGTATGCTAGATATCGAGTGAAAAGAAAGAGCTTTTATAGACAAAGTGAACTTCAGATGTTTTTGTTGATTTCCGGCGGCCATATTGGTGCACCAAAACGGTGCACCAATATAGCGTCTCCATACAAAGCTCTACAAAGGAGCGTGAAACGTTTTCAGCAAATAACTCAGAAACTGTGACCCACAAAGACCTGACACTTAGACAAATTGTTTATATATTAGTCTTTTATGACATTTCATTTTTTTGGCTTCTTCCATTGGACAGTTTCCAATTTAATTTTTTGTTGCGTGACAGTGAAAACGATCTATACCGGGTCGCTCTTAAATACGCCGGCACGAAATCATTTCGAATAGGGCTTTTGTCCACACATAAGAACGACGATTTTGGTACAACGCGACGTCTCTAACAAATTAAAGCGAAGCTTCACCGCGTCGATTTTGAAGTGGATCGTGACACTTTGGATAGATTTCGGTGCCACTTCAAGTTTGCGCAGTACAAACGCAGGTGTTCATGCTGCACCGGTAGCCTTTCCACGTCGACATGAAAGACTATCCGGTATATGTGGTGTACACACCGCCTTAAAATCCGACAACATAAAATTAATTGAAGTAGCTGTTTATCGCTGCTATTAATCAATGAAAAGGGGATCTTCCTTGAAAAGCCGTAGGTGCAATTAAGGAAACGTGTGGCAAGTAAAAACGAAGCTCGCACAAGACCATGCCAAGAGAGCACTGAATGGGCCAAGAGCCAGCATGCAACTCTGCTGGAAGCGGAAGAGTGAGGAAAAATGGAACATGGCCAAGTTTGTATTCAAATAATTTATGGGTTTCCTCAAAGTTGGCATTTTGTAAACATTTCATGTAAACCGGAGCTGTGGATGAATGATCTATTCGCTGTCACGTTCATGTTTACTCAGCTTCTGATCTTCTCTACGCGACTGCCACTCTTCTCTTAAGGTTTAGTTCCTTTCCAGAACAACTTTTCAGTACCCCGGCACGGTGCATAAACACAGTTTATATTTTTTCCTTGGTAAGATATTCCTTGCGTAAGATATAGTCACAAACTGCGAACAACTGGCCTCTTTATACTGTTTTTGTCTTTTACTCTTTTAACTGTTCTGACTGTGTTTAAAAACACACACACAAAAAAAACCGAAAAATTATTTAATATGATTCATAAAAAAAAAATAAAAAATAATAATCATGATAATAATAATGAAACGGATATTAATAGTTCGTATTCTAATAACAAGTCAGATAAAGTTCCCCTCGTTTATCTACATAATTATGAAAATGTTATCGGCCAAAGCGTGAGGTAAAAATTAGCAGACCGCTTGTTGGTACTTATGGTGTTTGATCTCACGAGCAAACTTTCTTACCAGATAGTATCAATATTAAATTCAATGTTATTTTTCAGTTTCGCATAAAACATCGCCTCGTCTTAAGAGATCATTAGTTTTTTTTTTTTTTTTTTTATGTAAGACATTCAGTTTAATATTATTGGTGTTAGTGGTGCATTCGTGCCCTTAATGAGTTCGTTTAACGCCTCCATTTAATAGTTACCAAGTATTCGTGAGTAAAAGCGAAAACAGGAAGATCTAACTACTGCATGACAGTCTTCGAAAGGCAGCGCCTTTTTTTCTCAGACACTTATTACAGTAAGTTATCGAAGTCACCTTTCTCGGTAGATGGGATTTCGTCTGGTTTGCTTCCATTTATCTCTGGACAGACTAATATAGAAAACAACAGTCAGGAAATCCTTAAAAATTTGCATTTTTTTTCAACAATTGCCTTAACATGTTTAAATTTAGCAAATGCGTATATATGTGTGCTGTGTAAATCGCTAAGATAGTGCCTTCAAATAACCTTTTTACCCCAGTTGGTATTAGCTTGTATGTTGTTATATACCGTGTAGAGCATCTTAGTTTGGGCACTAAAAAAAGATACGGTCAGTTTCCCATCTTGAATTTTGCATAGGAAATAGAAATAGACACCTCAACCTTTTTTACGAATATACAATATCCATTTTTTGTGGCAGAGCGTTGGTTGCTGAAGAGGTGCTGAAATTAAATGTCCGCTGTTGTGTTAATAAAAAAGATAAGCGCAATCCATTTGGTCTCCGATGCTTTTGAAATAGTTTTTTAAAAGTAGTTGGTAAGTTTTAAAAGGCGAAGAAAGTCATCCACACACTGAAACGTTTTGCAGTAGATGAAAGTTATTTCATTTAGCTTTGATCCGGCCATTCTCTTGGGGTAACAAAGAAAAAGGTTTTTCTTAGGTTCAACCCGGCTTCACCAATCTTTCTAGTTGCAACAGCTGCTAACATCCGGCTTTATACGTAATTATACACTTAGCTACACTTTGTACGTGCCGTAGAAGTCGTTAAGATAGTGCCATTAAATAAACTTTTCCATGATATTAGCCAAGGAGAAAATAATTTAAGAGAGCGAATCCCCCATACATGACCCTCTTCCCATGATGGTAATTTTAAGGACGACAACTCATTGGTCGGTAAGAATGGCGTCAAGTAATATTTATAACTTGGCGGGTAATTCATTTCACTGCCGATCACGCACAACAAGCAACACGACGTGTGAACTTGAATTAAATTACTTTCGTCAAAGAGTCAGAAGATTTCTAAGTGGAAAAATCTGGCCAGAGTAGCCGCTGATGATCAAAATGATCCTGGCTTTTAGGAATCGCCGAGGAAAGCAGTTCCGACTCGACGGAAATTGCTAATTTTGGCTTCGCTGCATCAGTGTATAAACAAATTACTCGGCTTGTAAGGGACGGACCATTGGAAAACTACGGCTCGAAAATTCCCCCCCCCCCCCATAACTTTTCCAATGGTCCGTCCCTAAACGACAACTGTCTCTTCGAAACTTCGGCGACGTCCACGCCAGTTTTAAATAGCCTTTGGCAATAATAATAACTTCCTCTTTAAGAACATATGGGTTCCCATCAAATATTGCCCCTGGGATAAATACATTTGCTTGAATTAATAGAATTGATAATGTCAACTGCTAAAAGTTTACCGGCACAATAAGCGAAAATACTAGTTAGAACATCTAAAAGGAGACTGAAAAAAACTGTTATGTTTCACAATGTCTGCTGTTTAGTTTCTTATTTTGTTGTTCCTCGCGTATATTAAAATTTCTTCCAAACACTAGTTTACTTCTATGCTGAGTTTTTTTATTAATATCAACATTCAGTTGATGACAGCTAAGCACAACGTTAAGTAAACACGTCCAAACGAGTACATTACATGCATACTATGGTAATGGTTAAGACTAAGTTCTAAATGTCATAGTTATCTTTTACGAAGCCTTTTAGATCCATCATTAAAAAAATATTTACTATGTTGCCTTTGAACTATTGTTGTCTTAGCATTTCAGAAGCCTCTTGAGACCTTGACGATAATTATTGCTAAAAGTGAGACAAATCAGAGGGTTTATAGCACAGTTTGCGTTGAAAATGAGGTGTGCGAGCTCAGCAAATAACCAGAAACCACAGCTGGACCAAATGGAACTATCCACCGGTTGACGTACCATGATTAGATTTGTAGTGGTGATGGGTACAGTACAAAAGAAAAATGCTAGCACGATAGCAATGGCCATCCTTAACACATTTCTGTTTTTCCTTTCGCGCTGTTTTGTGGCGTTGGTCAACTCTTCACCTGGAGGCGCCTGTAGTTTAAGCTTGATGAGGATGATGGAGTACAGAATGACCAACAGGACTGCAGGGATAAAACTAAACGCTGTGTACACTGTTATGTAGTGATTCTCAATGGGCCAGGATCCTTCGAAGGTTCCATACCAATCAAAGTAACAAACAGTCCCCTGAGTGCCTTCATCAACTTTTGCGACGATCATATATGGCGCAAAAAAAGCCAAGGCAACAACCCAAGTAGCGAGAATGAAGAAGGGAAACAATTTGCGACTAATGAATGGAGAACGAAGTGGGAACACCACGGCAACATAGCGATCAAGTGCTATCAGAACTAGGCTTTGACTCGACACACCGAAGGAGACGTGGGTAAAGTAGATAGCAAGTTTGCACAGGGCTTAGCCAAGAAGACCACCAGTAGGCCAAGAGCCGCCATAATGGATCTCTGCACTAAGACGCAGAGGAATCGTGAAAAATGGCAACAGCATGTCTGATATGGCCATGTTTGCGATCAAATAATTTATGGGTTTCCTCAACTTTGGCGTTTTATAAACAGTTAATCCGATGATCGAATTTCCGAAAAGGGAAAAGCCAAGTATCAGACTATAACCAATGGTTTGCCCAATTTTCAACGCCGATACGTTTATCGGACTGCTACATGCCCAAAGGTTCGATCCATTCGCTGTTGTGTTCATCTTTACTAGTCTCAACTCGCTTGCTTCTTCTAGTAAGGTTTGGCTTCTTTGCAGAACAGCTGCCCAATACTGCGGCCTATATTCAAATAGGAAGGTTTGTAATAATTATATAACGTAAGACAGGTAATTTTAACATCCTACAAATACACTGATGTTGTAAAGTGACAAACTCAAACGTGCGTGCCCTGTATATCAAATAATAAAATAACAAAAAACAATTAACTAATCGTGGAAAATATAATTCATCTATGATAATAATAATAGTAATAATAAAAATAATAATTAATAATAATAATAGATAATGGATAATGGATAAAGGCTGAGTGTCTCAAGGTAGCTCGACCCAGTATTTTTGTGGGCACACCTTCCATCATTATAACACACGTATTACACATAGACTAAATAATATAGAGCGTTTTCACATGACGTCACGGCGGCCATATTGGTGTTCCAAAACAATGAAATGGCGGCCACGTAGGTGTACCCAGAAAATCCTCTGGGACTTGAACTCTTTTCTCATGTAAATGCTTTCTTTTATTCCAATAAATTAGCATAGATGCTGGCCACGTAATAGATAATGGATAATAGATAAAGGTTGAGTGTCTCAAGGTAGCTTTCCCCAGTATTTTTGTGGGCACACCTTCCACCATTTTAACACATGTATTACACATAGACTAAATTTTATTATCACATTATTTTTTCGGTTATGGGAATGAATATCACGTGACAATGACGTCACAACAGCTTCTGAAGGCTGTCAACAAACCTGCATCGGGAAGTTACCAAGTTGAAAAAGACCCTGCTTGTGTATTTAAATAATTATATCTAATTGACTGAATTGTTTTGCAATAGATAAAAGTGATTTCATTTCAATAGCTTCGACCCATTCGCTTGGGGCAACAAAGAAAACAGTTTTTCTTTGGCTCAACCTTTACCAATCTTCCTAGTTGCAACAGCTGCTAACATCCGCCTTTATACGTAACTATACACTTAGCTAAACTTTGTAAGTGCCGTGGAAGTCGTTAAGATGGTACTATTAAA